GGGGGGGGGGGAAGGGGGGGGGGGGGGGGGGGGGGGGGGGGGGGGGGGGGGGAGGGGGGGGGGGGGGGGGGGGGAGGGGGGGGGGGGGGGGGGGGGGGGGGGGGGGGGGGGGGGGGGGGGGGGGGGGGGGGAGGGGGGGGGGGGGGGGGGGGGGGGGGGGGGGGGGGGGGGGGGGGTGGGGGGGGGGGGGGGGGGGGGGGGGGGGGGGGGGGGGGGGGGGGGGGGGGGGGGAGGGGGGGGGGGGGGGGGGGGGGGGGGGGAGGGGGGGGGGGGGGGGGGGGGGGGGGGGGGGGGGGGGGGGGGGGGGGGGGGGGGGGGGGGGGGGGGGGGGGGGGGGGGGGGGGGGGGGGGGGGGGGGGGGGGGGGGGGGGGGGAGGGGGGGGGGGGGGGGGGGGGGGGGAGGGGGGGGGGGGGGGGGGGGGGGGGGGGAGGGGGGGGGGGGGGGGGGGGGGGGGGGGGGGGGGGAGGGGGGGGGGGGGGGGGGGGGGGGGGGGGGGGGGGGGGGGGGGGGGGGGGGGGGGGGGGGGGGGGGGGGGAGGGGGGGGGGGGGGGGGGGGGGGGGGGGGGGGGGGAGGGGGGGGGGGGGGGGGGGGGGGGGGGGGGGGGGAGGGGGGGGGGGGGGGGGGGGGGGGGGGGGGGGGGGGGGGGGGGGGGGGGGGGGGGGGGGGGGGGGGGGGGGGGGGGGGGGGGGGGGGGAGGGGGGGGGGGGGGGGGGGGGGGGGGGGGGGGGGGGGGGGGGGGGGGGGGGGGGGGGGGGGGGGGGGGGGGGGGGGGGGGGGGGGGGGGGGGGGGGGGGGGGGGGGGGGGGGGGGGGGGGGGGGGGGGGGGGGGGGGGGGGGGGGGGGGGGGGGGGGGGGGGGGGGGGGGGGGGGGGGGGGGGGGGAGGGGGGGGGGGGGGGGGGGGGGGGGGGGGGGGGGGGGGGGGGGGGGGGGGGGGGGGGGGGGGGGGGGGGGGGGGGGGGGGGGGGGGGGGGGGGGGGGGGGGGGGGGGGGGGGGGGGGGGGGGGGGGGGGGGGGGGGGGGGGGGGGGGGGGGGGGGGGGGGGGGGGGGGGGGGGGGGGGGGGGGGGGGGGGGGGGGGGGGGGGGAGGGGGGGGGGGGGGGGGGGGGGGGGGGGGGGGGGGGAGGGGGGGGGGGGGGGGGGGGGGGGGGGGGGGGGGGGGGGGGGGGGGGGGGGGGGGGGGGGGGGGGGGGGGGAGGGGGGGGGAGGGGGGGGGGGGGGGGGGGGGGGGGGGGGGGGGGGGAGGGGGGGGGGGAGGGGGGGGGGGGGGGGGGGGGGGGGGGGGGGGGGGGGGGGGGGGGGGGGGGGGGGGGGGGGGGGGGGGGGGGGGGGGGGGGGGGGGGGGGGGGGGGGGGGGGGGGGGGGGGGGGGGGGGGGGGGGGGGGGGGGGGGGGGGGGGGGGGGGGGGGGGGGGGGGGGGGGGGGGGGGGGGGGGGGGGGGGGGGGGGGGGGGGGGGGGGGTGGGGGGGGGGGGGGGGGGGGGGGGGGGGGGGGGGGGGGGGGGGGGGGGGGGGGGGGGGGGGGGGGGAGGGGGGGGGGGGGGGGGGGGGGGGGGGGGGGGGGGGGGGGGGGGGGGGGGGGGGGGGGGGGGGGGGGGGGGGGGGGGGGGGGGGGGGGGGGGGGGGGGGGGGGGGGGGGGGGGGGGGGGGGGGGGGGGGGGGGGGGGGGGGGGGGGGGGGGGGGGGGGGGGGGGGGGGGGGGGGGGGGGGGGGGGGGGGGGGGGGGGGGGGGGGGGGGGGGGGGGGGGGGGGGGGGGGGGGGGGGGGGGGGGGGGGGGGGGGGGGGGGGGGGGGGGGGGGGGGGGGGGGGGGAGGGGGGGGGGGGGGGGGGGGGGGGGGGGGGGGGGGGGGGGGGGGGGGGGGGGGGGGGGGGGGGGGGGGGGGGGGGGGGGGGGGGGGGAGGGGGGGGGGGGGGGGGGGGGGGGGGGGGGGGGGGGGGGGGGGGGGGGGGGGGGGGGGAGGGGGGGGGGGGGGGGGGGGGGGGGGGGGGGGTGGGGGGGGGGGGGGGGGGGGGGGGGGGGGGGGGGGGGGGGGGGGGGGGGGGGGGGGGGGGGGGGGGGGAGGGGGGGGGGGGGGGGGGGGGGGGGGGGGGGGGGGGGGAGGGGGGGGGGGGGGGGGGGGGGGGGGGGGGGGGGGGGGGGGGGGGGGGGGGGGGGGGGGGGGGGGGGGGAGGGGGGGGGGGGGGGGGGGGGGGGGGGGGGGGGGGGGGGGGGGGGGGGGGGGGGGGGGGGGGGGGGGGGGGGGGGGGGGGGGGGGGGGGGGGGGGGGGGGGGGGGGGGGGGGGGGGGGGGGGGGGGGGGGGGGGGGGGGGGGGGGGGGGGGGGGGGGAGGGGGGGGGGGGGGGGGGGGGGGGGGGGGGGGGGGGGGGGGGGGGGGGGGGGGGGGGGGGGGGGGGGGGGGGGGGGGGGAGGGGGGGGGGGGGGGGGGGGGGGGGGGGGGGGGGGGGGGGGGGGGGGGGGGGGGGGGGGGGGGGGGGGGGGGGGGGGGGGGGGGGGGGGGGGGGGGGGGGGGGGGGGGGGGGGGGGGGGGGGGGGGGGGGGGGGGGGGGGGGGGGGGGGGGGGGGGGGGGGGGGGGGGGGGGGGGGGGGGGGGGGGGGGGGGGGGGGGGGGGGGGGGGGGGGGGGGGGGGGGGGGGGGGGGGGGGGGGGGAGGGGGGGGGGGGGGGGGGGGGGGGGGGGGGGGGGGGGGGGAGGGGGGGGGGGGGGGGGGGGGGGGGGGGGGGGGGGGAGGGGGGGGGGGGGGGGGGGGGGGGGGGGGGGGGGGGGGGGGGGGGGGGGGGGGGGGGGGGGGGGGGGGGGGGGGGGGGGGGGGGGGGGGGGGGGGGGGGGGGGGGGGGGGGGGGGGGGGGGGGGGGGGGGGGGGGAGGGGAGGGGGGGGGGAGGGGGGGGGGGGGGGGGGGGGGGGGGGGGGGGGGGGGGGGGGGGGGGGGGGAGGGGGGGGGGGGGGGGGGGGGGGGGGGGGGGGGGGGGGGGGGGGGGGGGGGGGGGGGGGGGGGGGGGGGGGGGGGGGGGGGGGGGGGGGGGGGGGGGGGGGGGGGGGGGGGGGGGGGGGGGGGGGGGGGGGGGGGGGGGGGGGGGGGGGGGGGGGGGGGGGGGGGGGGGGGGGGGGGGGGGGGGGGGGGGGGGGGGGAGGGGGGGGGGGGGGGGGGGGGGGGGGGGGGGGGGGGGGGGGGGGGGGGGGGGGGGGGGGGGGGGGGGGGGGGAGGGGGGGGGGGGGGGGGGGGGGGGGGGGGGGGGGGGGGGGGGGGGGGGGGGGGGGGGGGGGGGGGGGGGGGGGGGGGGGGGGGGGGGGGGGGGGGGGGGGGGGGGGGGGGGGGGGGGGGGGGGGGGGGGGGGGGGGGGAGGGGGGGGGGGGGGGGGGGGGGGGGGGGGGGGGGGGGGGGGGGGGGGGGGGGGGGGGGGGGGGGGGGGGGGGGGGGGGGGGGGGGGGGGGGGGGGGGGGGGGGGGGGGGGGGGGGGGGGGGGGGGGGGGGGGGGGGGGGGGGGGGGGGGGGGGGGGGGGGGGGGGGGGGGAGGGGGGGGGGGGGGGGGGGGGGGGGGGGGGGGGAGGGGGGGGGGGGGGGGGGGGGGGGGGGGGGGGGGGGGGGGGGGGGGGGGGGGGGGGGGGGGGGGGGGGGGGGGGGGGGGGGGGGGGGGGGGGGGGGGGGGGGGGGGGGGGGGGGGGAGGGGGGGGGGGGGGGGGGGGGGGGGGGGGGGGGGGGGGGGGGGGGGGGGGGGGGGGGGGGGGGGGGGGGGGGGGGGGGGGGGGGGGGGGGGGGGGGGGGGGGGGGGGGGGGGGGAGGGGGGGGGGGGGGGGGGGGGGGGGGGGGGGGGGGGGGGGGGGGGGGGGGGGGGGGGGGGGGGGGGGGGGGGGGGGGGGGGGGGGGGGGGGGGGGGGGGGGGGGGGGGGGGGGGGGGGGGGGGGGGGGGGGGGGGGGGGGGGGGGGGGGGGGGGGGGGGGGGGGGGGGGGGGGGGGGGGGGGGGGGGGAGGGGGGGGGGGGGGGGGGGGGGGGGGGGGGGGGGGGGGGGGGGGGGGGGGGGGGGGGGGGGGGGGGGGGGGGGGGGGGGGGGGGGGGGGGGGGGGGGGGGGGGGGGGGGGGGGGGGGGGGGGGGGGGGGAGGGGGGGGGGGGGGGGGGGGGGGGGGGGGGGGGGGGGGGGGGGGGGGGGGGGGGGGGGGGGGGGGGGGGGGGGGGGGGGGGGGGGGGGGGGGGGGGGGGGGGGGGGGGGGGGGGGGGAGGGGGGGGGGGGGGGGGGGGGGGGGGGGGGGGGGGGGGGGGGGGGGGGGGGGGGGGGGGGGGGGGGGGGGGGGGGGGGAGGGGGGGGGGGGGGGGGGGGGGGGGGGGGGGGAGGGGGGGGGGGGGGGGGGGGGGGGGGGGGGGGGGGGGGGGGGGGGGGGGGGGGGGGGGGGGGGGGGGGGGGGGGGGGGGGGGGGGGGGGGGGGGGGGGGGGGGGGGGGGGGGGGGGGGGGGGGGGGGGGGGGGGGGGGGGGGGGGAGGGGGGGGGGGGGGGGGGGGGGGGGGGGGGGGGGAGGGGGGGGGGGGGGGGGGGGGGGGGGGGGGGGGGGGGGGGGGGGGGGGGGGGGGGGGGGGGGGGGGGGGGGGGGGGGGGGGGGGGGGGAGGGGGGGGGGGGGGGGGGGGGGGGGGGGGGGGGGGGGGGGGGGGGGGGGGGGGGGGGGGGGGGGGGGGGGGGGGGGGGGGGGGGGGGGGGGGGGGGGGGGGGGGGGGGGGAGGGGGGGGGGGGGGGGGGGGGGGGGGGGGGGGGGGGGGGGGGGGGGGGGGGGGGGGGGGGGGGGGGGGGGGGGGGGGGGGGGGGGGGGGGGGGGGGGGGGGGGGGGGGGGGGGGGGGGGGGGGGGGGGGGGGGGGGGGGGGGGGGGGGGGAGGGGGGGGGGGGGGGGGGGGGGGGGGGGGGGGGGGGGGGGAGGGGGGGGGGGGGGGGGGGGGGGGGGGGGGGGGGGGGGGGGGGGGGGGGGGGGGGGGGGGGGGGGGGGGGGGGGGGGGGGGGGGGGGGGGGGGGGGGGGG